ACTTTCAAAAATCCAGTATCAAAATCAAGAGTAATTATCATTTCTCTAGCTGGACTCTTCATTCACTCAGTCTTAGAATCATAGAATCATTTAGGTTGGAAAATAAAATCAGATTCTTTAAGTCCAACTTCTGCAACCATAATAATTGGTCAGTAACAACCTAGGGGTTGTAGGGCTTTAAATTTAATAAACTAAGAGTCTGTTTCAAGGACATTGTGTACATCAGTTGACAACTGGCTCGTTGATCATTGATTGATCCTTTCAAAGACTTAGCACATCCGCACAACATCATATCTGTGTTTCTGAGATTACTACATTGATAGCATACACACCCTTTGGAGGCTTTACAGCTGTGCCAATAGCAGCATGCATTAAGAACTGCCCCTCATAGAATTAATCAGTAAGGTTAATACTAAACAATTCTGATGAAATTTCCCAAATATGGGACCAAACTAGAAGGCTACACTGGCCTGGAGAATCAAGGAACAATTGCTTCATCTTGAACTACATTAATTAAAGCATTTAGATAAGAGGTAAGAAAAAAGAATAGGAACTGTAAACTCTTCCAAACTATTAATTTTAGACAAAGTACATTTTTAAATTGCTTATTGATGATTCTAATAAACCTATAGCTTTGATATACAAAGCTAAAATCCACTGGTTTTTTCCAAGACTTTTTCCAGTACTGAATAAATATCTGATGGTGACGCACTTAAATACCTGTAAATGAGATTGCTATACATAGTTTGCAACTCTTTGTTCCAATTACAGTTAGAGAAAACCATGAAGAGTAGAGATAAGGAAATTTTCTGCAAGCTTCATGCTTCATGAAGGTGACTTTTTGTTTTATACCATTGCAATTCTAACCTATATCCTTTGGAAAGCAAGAGCATCTAGCAAGCATTTCCATTTCTAAGGAAAAGGTATCTTTTAATTGTGTCAATACTAAAGCCTCAGCTCCCACAATGCATCGCTGACTTGCAACTGGAAAAAAAAAGTATTTCCAGTGCCTCATAAAAGCAGCAAATGAGAAGACAAGGTACATGAAAATTTAATTACTTACAACTCAGAAATAAATTGATATTTAAGAGCAAGCTTTTGATAAAACATAACCATGACATACAAAATTTCCATTTCAGCAATATTTCTAAATAATAAAAATAAATAGATTCACACAGTAAATCCTCTTCTATAACACACACACATATATACATCTACATGAATTTGTGCTGTCAGCCAAGTGAGATCAAAGCAAACTGTTGTTTAATTTAAACTGAAAATGAAGATGGAAAGAGCTGTTACATGCTTAATTACTTCAAATCCATTATTTCTTATTTACTGAAATATCTGCTTGATAAATATATGTTGCAAGGACTTGTGCAAGCACTGTATGGAGTTCTTTGCAATTCAATATAAACACAGAAAATTAATGAGGCTGTGGGTCCATAACACACAAAGTCCAGCTCTAGCCTGTTAGTACCAGATGTAGGAAAACTAGAGCTGTATGATGCAAAGTGTTGCTCCAGTATAAATTCACTATTAGTGTAGATCAGCTCAAATTCTTTTGACAAATTACCTTCATACCAGTAGATACTACAGCAAATCCCACACTGTCTGTCCTGCAGCCAAAGCCAACATAAAGCTATTATTAAAGCATAAAGTCAGCACATATACACTTAGCATACTCTGAGTATTCAACATATATGTGACCATGTGCCCATAACTAAGCCAGATTAAACTGGTCTTTGCTGGTAGCACACAGAATTTGTATTGCAACTGGAAAACCAAGACTGATAACATGAAAAATGCTTCTCTTACCTGCAGGCCTTTTTTTTCACAATAGACAGCATAATTTGATGTAATTTTTATGCCTGAGACTTTCTCATCCCCAAGCCAATAACTTACACATTTTTCTCTCTTATTTTTAGAGTTCAAGTTTCCTTTCTTAACTGGTGCAACTCTACATTTTTAATAGAATGCTGATGCTGTGTATAACAGGTGAGAAGTGATATTATCAACAATTACAGGAAGTCCACATACACAAACAATTTCAGGAAGAATATTTATCTACAAATGGAAAGACTGTAGACCAGAAATTTCTTTCCTTCAAAAGAAAATAAAATTATGGATAAGTGTATGAAATATTAGTTTCTCATACAGAAACATCCATGCTAGTAGTTCATAAAATAGTGAACAATAAAGCTCTGAAAGAAATTAAGAACAAAGAAGAATCACCAAAGCAAAAAGGAAATATTCAAAAAAATACTTGACTTATGATAGGAAAACTATTTTATGTATTCACCACTGAAGTAATTGCTTGCACATTTAACAAACCTATCAAAATAAACCCAAAAAGCAAAACCGTACTTTGTTCTAAGTGACAGTGAAGCAGGTCAGTAGAATATATATATACCCATATGGGAGGTTTATTCATAAGCATGATGATCATGGCTGGCATGATGACATATCCTAGAGTTTCAAGCTGTCTGAAATGAGTGAACTATTTCAGTAATTATAAGTTTCTAAACTACTGCAATTTCAACATCTATTTTAACCCCTTTTAGTAACATACGTTTAATTTATAGTCCTAAAATTAACATTCCTGGATCCAAGCCTGCTCTTAGTAACTGGCGGAATATAATTAAATCAGCAGAAAAGTAAAGTATGACCTTTGCCTATTATTTTTATTGCCAGGAAGGTGCTACCTAAAAAAAAATACTAAAGAACAAGAACATTTTATGCACAATCAAGGATCACATTGAAAAAACAGTTTCAGGGTAAGTACTCTGAGGAAGAAAGAAAAGGACTCTACCAAACAGCTCTCTGAGGTCACCAGGACATTGGAACAGAGAGAATGGCGGGAAGAAGAGGCATACACACACACACTTCCTCCCAGTGAAGTGACAAGAACACTCACCTATAAGAACTAGGTTCTAGTACCCTTCATAGGGAATATTTAAGTATCCTTTATGAAGTGGAATACATCAATGAAGGCCAAAAAGAAAAACTCACCCTGAAATAGCCTCTTAGGCTTTGTGTGGCTTTTAAGGGCTAATGAGGTAGATGGAAGACTACCCCAAATTGCCATCACAGTTGGAGGAGACACACTGTATAGGCACACTCTGTTCCCAGCTACTAAACTGGCTAAGTAATTTCCATTTTTTTATTCTCAGGTCAATTTATATTTTCTATTGTACATCATTCACCTTTGAAACACCAAGTTCCTTCCTGCCATTCATCTTGCACTCACAACACTACTTGCCCTTCCAGCATAACATAAACTATATTAATTTCCCCCTTTTTTGAGGTAATGACAAATGCTACTTATCTCCCTGCAAAGCCAGAGTAAAATATAATTTCACTCCAGTTTCTACTTCAGCCAGTATTTCTTCCAATGCATTTTATAGTAATTAACTTTGTTTGCAACCATTTCTGCTCCCATGTTTTGAAGCTTCTTCCTTTTAAGACAAAGATGTTGTCCATTTTTTGCACAGTAGTACGTAATATTTGTACCACCTCTACTTTTAGTTTAAAGTAAAACAGCTATTTCCTCCAAAAGAGCCACAATTGCATAAAGTGTACAGTTGTATAGTGGATTTTATTAGAAAATTACAAGCTGTTTTTAAGGGCTCTTGAAATAAAGACACTTGATAATTAGTATTTTTTACAGGACCAAGTGCCGCTTTTTCTTGTTTGTTTTACTAAAACTGACCTTAAAATACAAAAACCGAACAACTTAAAAATTTAAAATAATTTTCACCTTTAAAGGTTTCTAACCATCAAAAATTCTTTCATGCATCTAATATTTCAGACTAAATCTCAAAAATCTGTTGTTTAACACAGTTCTATATTTTCTATTATACAAAACAAATCTTTAATAAATTACATAATTTAAAGTATGATGTCCATATATAATGTCTTATGAAAGATAAGATCTTGCCTTTTCCATGAGAATCTAGGCATAGTTGAAATTTTACTGTGCTGCTATAGTTAATTACATTGAGTAGCTCATTTTCACTATAAAGGATATTCCACACCTGATAATAAATGACTTGTTGGTGACAAGTTTATTTTTCTAATGAGCTGGCAGTAACTTTCACAAAAAGTGGTGATACAAGAAGAAAAAATATAGCCAGGTTTCTTGGCTCAAGGGCACTTCACAGAATTGACCTTCAGATCATAGATGTCACAGTATCTACTTTAAAAAGGGGAGAAATAAAACCATGAGGTGATTCCCAATCACTTAACCATTAACCTCACTTACTCCTTAAGTAAAGGCAAAGAAGTCTCTGTTTAGAAACAGTGACAGTAGAAAAAAATAAATGTTCAAAAACTGTGCAACTGAGAATTCTTCAGAAGAGATGGAAAAAGAAAAATAAGGATATACAACGAAAGCAAAGCAATCTGTTTTGGCAAAAAATATAAGAGTAAAGTAGGAGTTGCAAAAGTATTTAAGAAGTGAAAAGCATCAACACTTTATAAAAGGCAACAAGTTGTTTGTATAGGGACTATTAGAAATTTCTGAAGTAACAGGAAGAAACAAAGTGAAATCAGAAGCAAACACTGCAGGAATAATAGTGAGACGTGAGAGCAAGTAACTGTTTCTTTAATTTCAGCCACTTAGATTTTTCCTGGAGCACATGAAACACTATAGCACAGTATTTTACATATTCAATTGCAATTTTATGTTTATGTACTGCAAACATAATAAATATGTGTTTGCATGTGTGTCTCTCACTGATTAGGAATCACTGCACAAGGAGCTTCTTTAGATAGACAGATATATAGATAGATAACTCTTTGTAAAATGTGGCCAGTTTTGTGGATCACACCTGCAGAACAATTAGCACTTCCATGGGCGACTGTAAACAGCTGTGTAACAGAATATGGAAGATCAGTCTTCAAGAATCAAGTCCCATACCTGATGAAACTAGAAATTTCTGCTACACCACCTTTACCATTTCCTCTTACAATTCTGAATGAAGAAGAGGTTTTCTTACCGGAGTGAGTGCTCCTTCTGCTTGAGCTTCCATAGGACTTGTAGGGGTGGCTGCAAGAAGCTGTCCTGCAGCTCCAGACAGAAGTTCCAATTTATCTGTAAGCTGTTCAGATGCAGCAGGATGACATTCCATGTCGAGAACAAACTCCACACCTGAAGTTTGGTTCTTGGCATGGACATTGTTTCCTGCCCAACCACCCTCTTTGGACTGCTCTTCTGGAAGGGACTCCTCTAGAACTTGTAGTACCTCTGGTTCTTCATCTGAGGGACTTCCAGTCATTTTGTGCCCTAAAGCCTCATTTGTCCTGAAGTCCTGCAAGTCCCGTTCTTTATCTATTATCACCCATTCCTTAGAATCAACCTCCTGCCTGCAGGAGCTTAGGTTAACAGCTACAAATCCATTGCTCATAACACCATCAGCATGGTCAGGAGAATTAGCTGACACAGGCTTTGAAGCATCTGGAAGATACTCCTCATCATAGTGCCAAACATGGTCCGTGCGGGCAGTCGCAAGAGCAGGAAGAGATGTTTTCTGAGAAAGAGGAGGAACAGCAGCAACAGGAGTCTCTGCCACTTTCAAGTCTTTCTGCTTCTTCTCCAAACTTAGAGAAAAGAAGTTAATATCTGAATTAGTTAAGAATTAATTAAATCATTTAAGTTACATTTGAGTGTTTTCAGAAGAAGAAAATTAGATTTATACAAAAATTTGTTGTCATATTCTAGAACGGCCTACAATGGTTCAAAGATCCACAATTTGAGACAAATAAGTATGATGTCAAGTAAATATGGATGGTCTTAGAAATGTACACATTTTTAATTTTAGTTCTAATGCAGGACATTGTATTGTAAATATAATTACCAGAAAGGAGAATTGTGAGAGAAAAAAACTCAGATGTGAGGTAACCACAGATGTCCAGGGTACTTAATTTGTTACAAAGCAGAGACTCAAAGAGGATAGAGAAGAAACAGATGTCTCCTGCAGCAGTTATTATATGCTTTCAAGAAGAATGTTATTTATTGCTTTGATTGATTCCTTACTTATGCTTTGCATAATTTGTTTTATCAGACAAATTCAAATTCCTAGCTCCCAATGAAGTATTCAGAAAGATTTTGCCACTTTCATCGCCCCAGCTCTCTTCTACTGTCCCCACTCAGCCTCTGCCTTTCAGTCACTGTGTCCCTCTCCCCTTATTCTTTCTACACACAGGCAAACTGAATCCATTTTCATACATCTGTCTCTTCTCTACCTTCAAATTATATTTTAAGTTCTCTGTCTTCCACCAAGATTTTTTAATGTTGGTGTAAAACCTTTGGACATCACTAAGCCTGCTGCATGCAGGTAGGTTTCTAACCTCTTCACCCCACTTCCTGTAAAATTCCCTTCTCATGTCATATAGCTTAATCTCACACTACCTCTATTGAGCACCTGATGTCAACTTTCTTATTCAGATTCAGATCTTATTCAGGATCATTTGTACTGACTGTCAAGAGTATGCCATCGAAGAAAAACTTAATAAATACTAGGGTTACAACCACTAAGTCTTGAAATAAAAAATTCACAGGTGAGGGAGTCCAACTTCAACCATATTTAAGCAGTAATTATTTTCTAAAGCAGTTAAAAAGTAGTGGAATCCATTAATTGAGCAATATTATGAAAAATATTTTGCAGTAACTTGCATAAGCATACTCAACAGCTCCATTCCTGTTCTTCACACAGCATAGATAACAGTATCCTAACCACATATCCTTAAAAAATCCTAGCAAAATGATAACATAATTTCTTTACCAGGTCTCAAGAAACTTATCAGTGTCGGGCTTAGACTCCAAGGTCATACGCTTCTCCAGTTCAAAGCTGTGAATGGAGCGCAACTTTCGCACCAGTGGAACATCTCTGTCTAACTGGGTGGTCTCTGAGCGAACTCGAATTGGAGAACCAAGACTTGGGGCATTTAGCACTCCATTCCCTGGTCCATGGCTGTTTTCTTCCTCTGTGGCAGCCTGTGCAAAATGTAAAGTAATAATGTAATTCACTAGGAGTAGCAAAACAAGAGGAAGACAAGGTACTACATGGTAAATACCCCCCATGTTTTTAGAATGTGAAAAGCCAATTTGTGTTTGGAATGGTCCTTAAGTTCATGCCATAGTTAAGTTATGAGTTTAGATATACTCTTCTGCACACATCTACAGCAGACAAAATACTGGCAATATATTGGTTCTGGGTAAGTGTGAGAACAGGAGTATCAAAGACATAGTAATACAGTTACATTTACTCTGATACTTCAAACCCAGCTCTGAAATTTTCTTCAGTAATAGTCTGAAACCTAGCATTTGGTAGCATCTTTGGTCTGCTTTACAGTCAAGTGCTCTTATTAAAGAGAAGTTAGCTTCCAGACTGTCTTTTTGATTCTCTGGAGCATATAACACTGTTACACACTAAATCTACTAAATATTTCTGTGACTTTAACCTATGTTTTAACCCAGCTGCATTCTATCTTAAAAATTACTGAACATTATTTAGAATAATAACTGAATATGATTTAGAGCTGGGAAATCATGATCATCCTTGGTTTCTACAGGTGTAACAGAAAGTACCTTTGTTTGAACTAGAACAATCTCCTTTCTCTCTCTTTGGTAAAAAAAACAAACAAACAAGCACATTTGAAAGCAAGCACCATGCCTTGGTCTTTCCCACAATACATTTGTTTTCCTAGCAAATAATGAGTAACAGCTTCAAAACTAGACAGCCCTCCTAGATAAAGAACATTTTAGTACCAGATCTGTTTTCATGTTCAAAACACTGTTATATTAAGAAAGAGGCAACATATGTCCAAGTATGAAACACAGTGATTGCGAGTAAGGAAGACAGGAACCAATTCTCAGCAATCACTTTTGAAAATAAAGCAGTATTTTCTTCTAAAGGCCAGCCAATGAACCTCTGAATCAATACAAAGGTATCACATCTTAGGAGACAAAACCACCAAGTGAATTAAATGGATACTGCCATTCACACTGATGATTTGTTGACTAAAGAACATTAAAATTTTCTCTTGCACATTTAGAATCTAGCTTCTACACATGCAAGATGCACAAAAATTGCTTTGATTTCACTCAGTGAGCAGGAATGAAGGTCATGTCTGAAGAAAACAAATAGGAGTAAACTACAAAGAGTCTCAAATTATCAGCAAGCTATTAATCATAAAGACCTGATAAAGTGACGCAAGGCTCAAAAAGTTGTCTGCTTTTTTCAGTATATAAAATGTGTTATCTCTACCATAAATAATTTTCTTAGGTCATTCTGGCTAATCAGTATCAGTACAACTGCCTTATTAATTACATCTTATGTGCACTACAAGAACACAAAGCTGTTCAAAGATGGTCTTCACAATGCAGATTTGAAAGTACCTTACAGATCCCCAGTTTTATTTTGTTTCTGTTTGCATCCATTTCTTCCCAAACATCTTTTTCCTGAGGACGCTGATGTCCAGGGGATCCAGGTATTTTCTCTGGTGATACACCAACAGGAATAACATTCTCTCCATCACTGAGCTGTTCATCAGGGAATACTTCATCTGTATTTTCCCGCAGCAAATCTCCTGGGATAGGAGTGGCATTGGCAATTCTACAAAAGTAGTTTAAAAAAAAATCAGAAAACTAAAAATTTTTATACCCTCCTGTGTTTACAGAAATTATTTTCTATTTTAAAAGAAAGAAACAAGCAAAAACTTACAAAGAAAATCACGTTTCTGCAGAAAAGTAAAACTTGGAAATTATTTAATATAACACCTCCAACTTCCTGGCTTTCACAATTTATTTAATTTTGGTACATAACAAAATATGTAAATAAAAAAATACTATCACATAAAAGTTGCTTATTCAAATGTTTGTGAAGCCACTTCTGAGAAAATTTGCTACAGATCATGTCCAGGCTCAACTTCTCTCCTGATTCTTCTCTATGTATTCTTCCATTCAAAAAAATTATTAGCACCCATAAACACTTCTTACGTTCATCCATAAACACCTCTTATGTTCTTCAGTCCCCTGAGATGAGTATGGGTATTATTGAACATCACATCTTGTCCAACTTACTTCATTACAGAATGTCTCATACAACACATTAAATATTATTTCAAACACAACCAAAATCTACTTCCAAATTTCTTATAAAGATCCAGTAATTTTTCAAACTTATAAAGGAAATTGCAGCTAGAATTTTATTTCAAGATTACAGAAAACAATGGGTTTATTTCCAGGCAGTTACATTTCCAGGCACTTAAACTCAGGACACATTATTTAGTTTCACAAAATACAATTTAGCAAAGGATGGATGAGGAAATTTACATGCAATTTCCTGGAGTACTATTTTTATTGCTGTAATTTTAGGACTGCAGTGCTGATCTTTCAGGATAGTATAAACTGGAACCCTAAAAAGGGAAATACTTCAAATGCTCCCAAACCTCCTTTCCTCTATGCATTCAAACTCCTGCAGCAAAAACCTGAATTATGGAGCTAATTTCCCTTTGGTAGGAAGCCCCTCTGAGGCTGCCACTGAAGAGACCACACGGTGCATACCCAATTGCAGCCGGCGTAAGACGAGTGTGCAACTGAGGGGTGGTTGAAGTTGTTGTTGTTGTCAGAGAGCCATCAGTTCCACTCTTCTCCCAGTCAAAAGGGTCGCTTTCAATAACCCCAAACGTTTTCATGCTGTTGTCAAACACAGACATGAGAAGCTGAAAATAAAGAAAAAGGTTAATAAGCTTGATTTTTGTCTAAGAGACCAAGTAATTAGGAAATATCCTGATATTTATTATCAGAATATTTATTTACTTATCCTGAATATAATACTGAAAACAACATTAAAGAAGAGTTTAATATTAAACACTTACATTAACTATTAAACATAAAGTTTAATATTAAACACTTCTCATTTTTTCAAGATTTTGAGGCCAAAATATACAAAATTACATTTTATTGAAACAGAAGACAAAAAAATCCACCAACATCTGTGTTTTTAAGAGGCATGAGGCAAAGATACACCATAGACTTTAACAGAAAGACAGAAATACACACAGAGAAGCATAACTACATTGCTGCAGAATACCATACAATGGCTCTCTAGCAGAGGAAGAGAAAATACTACATTTGGTAACACCTTGAAACCTAGGAAACGAATGAGATGTAGGAAAGGATACTGATCTGCTAATTCATAATACCTTTCTGTATTAAGAACCATATATCATTTACTTCATATAATGCTGACATTTATACTATATAAATGTCTACGTGTTCAACCCCATTTTATGCTATGGAAAAGCCTTTAGTAAATTTGTGTCCATGACAGAGAAAAAAATGGCATCACTTTCCTCTCTCTGTGAAACAAACTTTGTCTCATTCTAATAGCTGATGGGAAGGCCGTGTCCATATCATCCTCTTACTCTGTAGCATTTCTAAGGTTTTTTTCCCCTAGAAGCTAAAAATCTGGTGTTTCTTCCAATACAGGATGCTGAAAATTCTTCCACACTCTCCTTTGCCATACCCTTTGGCAACTTAAAATAGATGGAAAGTTTGGATCATTTCTCTTGTATAGAGTGGTCTCACCCATGTAATTTTTACTCTCAAGAACCTTCTGTTTGCCACCTGTCCCAGCCATTTTTGTAATCCTACTGAAGAGCACAAAGCCATAGCTCACTCTGTCCCTTATGTACGGTGTTTAATTCTTCTCCTCCTCTAAACATTAAGTAGTGTCTCTGAAGTAATTTTTAAAGCCATTCTCTTTTAAATCTTTTCAACAATTTCTGCTATAAGCCAAATGCAAACTCAAATGCTTATTGATATCAGGAGGCTGAGGCACTGTATGCACAAATGCTTGAAAAAAATAAACATCTGATATTGCAAAATCAAACATGGCTTCTTGACCTTGGTGATGAATGTTTTGGACTACAAACTCTTCAAAGCAGGGATATACATACATTCTTGTTCAGTGCCCACCCAGAAATACAAGGAATATAGCAGGTAGGAAAAACACCACCGCAAACACAAGTAAAGAGAGACCAGAATTCAAAAGAGCATTCTCACTGCTCTAAATAAAACCACCCTGTTCTGGTCTAAAGCACATGAGCAAGACTGTGTTGTAAGGCTCAGGCTGCAGCTACACAACTGCAAATGTTCCATGAATAGCCACAGGATTGTAAATTACTGGGCTTTCTCTATCATGGAAAAACTCTCTCTTGGTATCTTGTTAATTGCTGAGTGCATGCGCTGTGTTAGATACAAACAGACCACAGAAAAGGATTTGCAAAAATATGACTGTCTATATGCTTTATCATTCAGATTCTGCAATGTAAAATGTTTTAGCCACTCTACAATCAAATTTTGCTATTCAACATCAAAATTTCTGCAATAGTACTTTTTACCATAGGAAAAAAAATCTGATACATCTTTATAACTAGGCACACAAAACACTGAAAACTTTTTCCTCACTTAATTGTAAACTATAGGATAAATTTCATGGAAATTTGTAATGGAGAAGAGGAAAAAATATCAAAGTATTTGTTCTTCAGCAATACTGAATATTTTTTGTATTGGTAATAAGTTTTTTTAACATTCAAATTTTTTTCACAAAAAATTTATTTATTTGTTTTGCAAATGTGCAGAATCATATACCAGTAGATTTAGAGAAATCCACTTACAACGGGAAACCAGTTATTCCTTGAGATTTTCAGCTCTTATTTCAATTCTTATATATCATGATTTCTTTGTTCTACCAAGCAAAGTAGAGAAGTTGCTCTCATTAAAGTTACAATTCCAGAATTAGTCAGATTTATTTATTCAGTTGAACCAATTACACTTGAACACCAACAAAAACTCATTCCTTCTGATTTCACTGATTTAGGGAGTTGAACATAGGCACAGAGGTAGATAGGTCCTGCAAGTGGGAAGCAGGAATGCATGTTTCTGGGAGCCAGAAGGAAGGCACACAGGGATAGCTTGCCATGGTGTGCAGTTTGATCAGTACAACTTCTCACAGTGTGTGAGGCTGAAAAAACTGTCAAGTCTTTCCCTCCCTGCTTTTCCTGAGCGCTCCTCTGCTGCTTATCACAAACTGGGAAAAAGTTCTACATTTATTTATTCTTTAATCATAGGTCAACACTGAGTGAGTTAAGACACATTCTACAGCATATGCTCTCAGCACATACCACCTTACCACTGAGCAGAGGCTGTCCATTTCAGCAGGCAACACTCCCTTAAACAAAGAAAAATGACTGGTCTTCTGTGATCTCTATACACAATACCTCAGTTTTGAAAACACACCATGAGTGTATGTTGCACTCTAGCTGTAGGTGCTGAGTTCCACACTTTGGAAAACTGCCAGAATGACAATCCTTGAAAGAACAATCTGATCAATTAACTTACAGAGCAAGTACTAGAGGCTGTGATAGTAGGATAGCTCCCAACCCTAACAGAATACTGACTGAAAAACAGGTGTCAATTGTTCTTAGAAACTTTAAGGGAAGCCTTACACTTCCCAAATGGAAAAAATAACATGTTTGAACCACAGTTTCTGTGGCACTAAATGGTCATTAAATTAACTTTGTGGTGCACAAACCATAATAACTATCAAGATTACACAATGAAATCAAAGTAAATTGAAGATGAAACAGCATAAAATTCTCTTCTTTATAAAACAGAAAGACAAAATAGTACAAGTGTTTACCTGGTAATCAGGCTTTGTGAAGTAATCCAAATTAGAAATATGATCCAGAAAAACGTTGAATTCTTGAGGAAGATGTTTCAACATAAGTCTGTGTTCGTACCTTTCTTTAATGGAGCCCACTTGCTCCTAGGAGTGAATAACACAACAAACATTGGCACATCTTCCTTCTCTGTTACAACATACTCACGTTCTCTGTTACAGCCATTAAATACACTACTGGCCAGAGAGACGGGTCACTACATGACATTGAATGGTAGTGAGAATGGCCATTCTACACCTGATACCAAGACAGGAGATTCTGTAGGTTTTGGCCTCAGAAGTATAACTTGCAAAATATTGTACAAACTTCAAATTCAATGTGAAAAGCCATTTAGTTTTCTACTCTGTTTGTGTTGTCTGTGTTTGAATGCTGACTGATACGAAGAACTGTCACTAAACACTCCAACCCTTTCTAATAGTATGTTTTAAAGGTTTAAAAGTCTTGTTGCATCATGTCAAGCTCAGTCACTTTTTAGTGTATATTCAGTCATGTAAGATGCACAAATCCAAACCAAAAAGGAGATGCTACCTATACACCACACTGTTATCTACCAATACATAAGCCACATCAGAGAGTAACCTGGTTTCAGTATGATTTCAAAAGAAGTTGCAAGAAGCAATAACAGGTTGATTAGATATTGCTTCTTTGCATACTTCACCTATGACATATGATATTACCCAATCCACTTTCGTTCACCAGCAAATAAGAAATACCTATTTCACAAACAATCAAAACAGGTTAGACATTTTAAGCGTGTGATAGCTGAAATAAAGTACTCAAGTGGTAACAGGAATAATGAAGTAAGTGGCAAATATAGACTTAGCCCTTTACAATAATTTCAATCTACAAGTATAACCTCCTTTCTTCCTAGAACACTTACTAATTTGATTGCTTTTTATACCATTACACTAGTCACAAGAACTAACACTAGAAAACACTGGAAAATGTAATGTTAAAATTATTTAATGATTCTAAGAGGAATCTTCATCACAGCATTTCTCTGGAATCCAGAAGTAAACCTTCCTTTTGCTCTGGTTTTACCTTCAGCTTTACCTTATCTTTTATTTTTCTCCAAGGCAGCTGCCCAACCACAAATTCCACCAACATGTAGAAGAGAGACCAGAGGTCATCATGCCGACCCATTTCCTGTAAAAGGAAGTATTATTTTAAAGCATATTACAAATACCTAAACAAATGGGAAGGTAAGTTCTTTACTGCTCGAAACCTAAATTATTATATAAAATTTAATATAACCTATGCTGCAAAACAAGTTAATTAAATCCAGTGGCTATTTTAAGGAGAAACATACAAGTAAGTTTCCACAGAAGACAGAGAGAAATACAATAAAAATTGAAGTGTGTTAAAATAACGTGACAAATCTCTGTTTATTCAGATTTCTTTAGAGTATGATGTTAAGACAATATACTGGGCATTATGTACCTCATAAAACTCAGTAGCTTCACTTTTTTAACTTATTAATTTGCAATACAATTGAATAACAAAGATAAGTATTAGAATCACTATTATTTGTACAAGAACTTTTTTATCCTCAACTACTGTAAATTGCATTATCCTTTCACAAAATTTATAGCTGTTAATTTCCACATAATAAAAGCACAGATAAGAATACAAAAAAGGAAATTAATAGTAACTGTGTTACTGACTGCTTCCAGCTGCATGAGATGGTTTTGGTCCAGATTGTGATACTCACTCTGTTTCTATGCGCGTTGATTGATGCGTATCGTACCGTTCCTCGAAAACCAGCAACAGCTCGTGGCTGCCAGAGAACAGGAAAGAGACTCATTGTCAGAAATAAACCCTCTGACTACTGAACTTGGCATCTACAAAGTGAGTACAGAGCCACAACATATCTTGTTTGAGATTTTATTTCGGTTTACTGTGCTGCTACAAGTTCTCAGTGGAAATTCAAGTGGGCACTAACTGACTGACCAATAAATAGCAAAGGTTGCATTAGAGACACCAATTTAAAATATTTATTTCTTTCAGTTTCTGAAAACCAGCATTTCTTCCCTGATACTCTAGAGATCTCGTGATCTTAAGTCAATTGATGTTTTATAACCAGAGAATGTATTTTCCCATCCTTGTTTTATTCAAATAAACATATTACAGAAGGAATTATATAATTTATGATAGTCACGATTAGTAGATATTTAATTTTTTTTTCAATCAAACTGTGATATTATTACTTTGCCTAAGAGAGATATCTAATCCATACTACCCCCTTAATTAACCATTATATATAGACAAAACTTCCAGGACTATTAAATTGGCTTTCTTTTATGCAGTCTTATCTTCCCAATAAATAGGTTTTTTTGCTTCCTCTAACAATGAACATAAGAAGCTTGAATTATCTACCTCACCTCTGACTTGTAGTTAGATAGGTATTGGTGATTTGTCTGGTCTCCCAAGACTCACAACAATTCTTAAGATTTTTTTTAAAAAAATTGCACAATACATTGAAAAGTCTGGTTTGATATACACACAAAGACAACCACAATATATAATTGATACCTTATTAAGATAAAACATTTCCACCTCTCTCTACCTATATATATATATATATATATATATATATATGTATATTTTTTTCTTATCCACCAAAAAATGCCATATAGAGGTATCATTTAAATAAATCAAGAACTGCCATTACCATCAATAAATCTAATGATTGAATCCAGCAGGATTACACAGCAACATCTTTAAAAAAGGATTCAACAGCCCATATAATCAATATCTGCTAGAGTAGTACAATGAGAGCTGAACCAGTGTTAGTTAAGCCAGAAAATATTTTATAAGATGTTCTTAACAAGAAGAGGAACTCAGATGATATTCCATAGATCTTAGACTTTTCACGTCATCACACAATTTAAATGGTGCTCAGAACACATTTCATGTTCAAGCAGGACAGACTCAACTGTCTGTCTGCCTTATTTTTAATTCTACATCATATTCCACACTGAACATTACCCCTGAAACATTACAGTGTAGTTGCAGAAATTTCACAGTAACATGCAATTAGAAAAAGAATAGCTCAAAATGCTTTGGAACTACTAAATTTCAGCAGAAACATTTTTTTTTAAAGCACCTAAATCTCCTTAGTAGTTCTGCAGGTTGGTAAATCATCCAACTAAAGGTAATATAGCATCACTGCCAAGACAATGAAAATACAGATAAATTTCAAAAAATATGTAGTTCAATGAATAGTATTTTCTCAGGAGGGCACTGAGAGCTTAACTTTAAAATAGTTGCAAATACAAATTCCATAAATCTCAAGAGCATATAGTTTCAGAAGTGAAACCAAATGTTTGCTGTCTTTTGCCTCTGGCATGAATGTTAAAAAGGAAGGACTATATTCAGTTTTACTTACTTAAATATTTCTATTCTTCTGAGAATAATGGAAGATATGAAACCGAGGATGAAAAGCCAGTTTAATTTCTAGCATCACGACTTCAATTTTTACTTGGTAACTAAGACAAAAATGCTTCAGTTGCTGGACAAATCAAGAAAAAAAGACTAAGAAATTTGATATGATAACTAAATTATCCCACTCAGTTTACAAAAACTAAAAATCTGACCTATTCCACTTCTGTCCTGGGAAAGAAATGTCCATATGAGGAAATTCATTGTGTACCAATTCAAATGTTTTTGAATGTTAAAGTCACAGCCATCCTTATCTGCCCTAACATGATTTCAATTATCTGAGAATCACCTGGATGGGAAGAAAAAAAAAAAAAAGAATGAATACTGTTTCTATCTATGAGCTTATCATGAAGTAAATTCTGAATTCTTTATTCCAGCAAGAGCATCTAAAACTTTCACTGTCTCTTGCCTTAAAGTATCGTTTCTATAATCAGAAGTAAAAGCATATGTCACTCTGTTCTATTTCAAGATGCAATAAAATACCTTTAGTAATGCAGCTGGTCACTATTCAATAGCAGTATTACAATGCCACACAACAATAATAAAATAATTCTATCATGTCTTTCTTGACATGAGTGATGTTCTGTAGGTCAAATCAAGTTTGCCCAATTCAGAACACAACTTACAGACTTCTGAGCGTTTGCATAACTTCTGAAACTGTTTCAGAAATTTTCATGCATCTCATAACATCTCATGTAGCCAAAGAAAAATACTAAATCCTTCAAATTTAAGTTAAAAAAAAATATTTTGAAGATACATGCAGATGAATTAAGTAGATCCAGAGACTACAATGAATTTTTCTACTTATAAAGGTACTTTTTAAATGTAACATCAGTTTTCTTTGGAGATGTCGCTACCCTGGAAACACTTGGCAATCTCTCACATAATCTGCATGCAGGAAATTAGCAGTTCCTAGCAAAGTGAACTATTTCCACTAAGCACACAGATTTCAGACTCCTGGGAGACAGTATGCTTACAAACCTATGAATGTTGCTTTTTTGGAGTGGCTGTGGAGGAGGAAAATCACTCTCCTTAGTTCAGTTCAGTGTCTCTAGATAAATGCTCTGGGTTTATTGCTCGAGGCAATATTGTAAAGGTTACACAGAACAAAAAAGTTAATTTATTACTGCAGTCACAGAAACCAGAAAATCAACATAAAAAAAAATCAATACTGGTTCTTTACATTATATCTGAGACACACCATGGTTCTCCCAAATCAATCAGGCCATGACTGAGTATTCCCAAGTGTCTAGGTTTTGCACTGAGAAGTCAGCAGTGCTGCCTCTAGAGTGTGGTTCAAAAGCCATAGGAGATGGGTAGAGAAGCAGCCACCTACATTACCCCTATTTTCCTTTGCTAAAGGTAGATTTCTCCTTTTTTATCTTTTCCCTCGAAAAAGATAATTTCTTAGTTCAAATTCCACCAGAAATCTATTTCCATGATTGGAACTACATACAGTTTCAATTCTTTGAAACCTTTTTTCATAGCTTCAACAATTCATATTCCAATCCTCCCCTTTTTGAACATATAGACTTTGCAGTCTAATGTAATGCCTAGCTCATGTTAGCACCAGTTCAGAACAAGTGAACATTTCAGGGATCACTTAAGTAAGGAAAGATCAAGCAGCTGAAATACAATTGCCATTACAATATATTATAGTTCTCAACTGATTTTCACTGCATATAAGCTCTTCAAACCCACACTTTCAGCTCTATCTTGAAATCCACATCAGACAGTAATAACTGAGTATATGGACTTAGAACTTTTCATCAACCCATCTCCTGCTAGTTGTTGGTATGACACTTGGCCTCAGATATACCTAAACAAATGTTGTGATTTCCAAAAACTCACTGCAGCTGTCTGATCCAACGCTATCTAGTTCCAGCAGAAGCTGAGTATCAAGGTAAGTTAACAACTAACAATACAATTAAATTTCACTATTGTGAGTTCTAATAGATATGTGACAAATGAAAATTTATCTCCTACTGCATGTGCAATAAAGAGCAACACCATCTCTAAGACAGCAGTATTTGATACACAAAACATCTCCTGAGCTACTCAGTTTTCAGTCTGGAGTACTCAGCCAAAATGATGCATGAGCTAAAGACTACAGTCACTCCACAGCTGATTTATGAGAAGACAAAAAATCTAGTGGGCTGAAGAGGGTAACAACCTACTAATGTCTGTCACAAACCTAAACTTACTGCAATGAAAAATCACAGGATAAGTCTGCCACATGTATGTTTGCTTTGCTCCCTGGAATCTTTCTTCTTTCTCTTATTCCAGGAGCTGAAGCAGAGATTACTGTAAGAAGAAGACTATCTATATAAACCAGCTATGCACTGGCAAATAATTTCCCCACAGAGCAGAATATTGTTTTATTTATCTCTGTAAGTAAAAATTTTACAGTTGTTCTGCACTTAGCAGATTGGAGAATGGAGACCTTAATTTTTTTATGTTTTGTAGTTATTTTTTATGTTTTGTACATATCTAATTTATTATTTATAATGATAATATCATATATTAAAGAGTTGCATAAATCCAGAAGTAGATTGTTTAAGTACTAGGCTTATTTCAGCTATGGATGGAAAGCAAAAAGGCTCAAGGAAGCTAATGTACATACATGTACCTTCTTTCCAATTCTCTTCCCTATCCCACAGGGGCAGGAGGGGGGTGGGAGAAATGAGCAAGAAGCTTTGTGGTACTTGGTAGCCAGCTGAGATTAAACCATAACAATAAAATAACACATTTTCTTCCTTTTAAATGATTCAAAGTATTTTTTTGTAACTCAGCCGAGAATTTAGCCCATAACTCAGAAAGAACTGGAAACCAGTGTTTCTGGTTTGATTTTCATTTGCTTCTATTTTCACCAGAAAACAAATTTTACTGGACCAAACCATCTGTCTTTCCACCACAATAGCTTTTAATTTCAAACAAATAGGACAGCTCTCAAAGACTTCCAGTTCCCGCAAATTTAATGAAAATTGGTGATTAAAGACAGAACCCAAATTAGTACACTGACACAGAGACAGACAGTTAAAATTCAATTAAAATGGCTCACATCCATCTTAAGAGACACCAATCAGCTGGTCAGTCAGCATTAGTTTTAGATGGCATGTAAATAAAAGCCTAGTCCCAAAGGTGCAACTAGGTACTAATCAGAAAGGTAAGCTCTAGTATGAAGCAGAAAATACTAAGAAATTTGGAGGGCATAAGGGAAGCAGTGCACAAAAGAACAGAAAAACTGTAAGTTTCATCATTCATAGAATAATTTCTTTCAAAACTATGATCAAATATCACTAGAAAAATTATTTCTTTTCTTTGTTTTTTTATAAG